ATAACACAAACCATGAGCAAAAAAACGCACCCCAGCAAATTGGGCTGTGTCCTTTCCCTTTTGGCTCTTGAATCCAGCAACCCAAAAATCACCCAGAGTCCCTAAAGTCCAACAGCCCCAAACTCTCTTGGGTCCAGCAACCACCCAAAGTCCCAAAAGTCCAACAAACCCCAAAGTCTCTGTCCCTGGTCAGTGCAGCCCCAGAGTAAACGGGGAGCACACAGGGTGTTAAGGGGCATCTTACGTGATCCAAGGCCAGCCGGCCATCTCTCCGTGGCATTCCACCACAGCCTTCACCACAAGCCAGTCCACTTCCTGCTGTCCCACAAACTGCTCCGCTCTACGAGCCGCTCCAGCCATCCCCGCAAACAGCTCCGCTTGCCATTCCTTGGGCCGCTCCAACCGTTCCCGCAAGGCTCTGCGCCGCTCGCTGCTCTACCAGCTGCTTAGCAATATAGCTTCAGGCTCCCCCACTAGTTAACACAGCACACAGTGATCTCAGCTCTTAGTAACTTTAGCTTTTTTGTGATTGCAACTCTTAACAATTTCAGCTCATAGTAGGGGAGCCCCACTGCTAGTGCACTATTGGGCCAAAGTGAATTCAGCTCAGCAGTCTGTAACTAGACTCCTAATAGAATCAAAGTTAGCTCTGACATTCAACAGTGGAGAGAGGAGATGGTGCAATTGGTGTTACAGACCCTCAGAGAACAAGGAGCAGCCATCCCCTCACATACAAATACCGGTCCCCAACCTCTCTCAATTCACTGGGTTTTGTAACCCATGCCCCTTGTCAAGCAAGTGCTACTTAGGTAATGGTGAAGGACTCACTTAGTCCTTCTGTCATACAACAGTTCCACTGGCCTTGATTCACAGAATCAGGGTAACAAAACTTTATTCTTCCTGCCCCAATTACAGAGAAACTGTGGATCCCACACCAGCCAAAGTAACCACTTTCAGTTGCTGTTGTTTCATGCCAGGCGAGTGGGTGTGCCTATGCAAACAAGATCAGCCCCTGGAGTTCTTTTCCACACTCGCCATAATTCACCACCAGATGTCAGGGCACAGCTCGTCCTGACTCTGCTTACAATACGAACCCCTGGAACACACTCAGCCAGCACTCCTAGTACAGCCTCACTGCCTGGATAGAGAGGAATTGTCACCTCCTGTTCATACATGTGAAACTCTGGGTGATTGTTCAGGGCAAGTGATGCATGCAGTTGCTTGCAGGGATTTCTGGCTACAGATTGCATCAGGTGCACCTAGGGTCCCATCGGTTAACACCTCACAGAGCTCTATAAATACTGGGACACTCTGTCTCCATCAGGTAAACAACCTCCATCTCGCTCTGCCTGGTGCCTCTTCTCTGCAGTGACACTGAGATCGCAGCCGACCTTCAGCCATGAAGATCCTGTACCTGCTCTTTGCTGTTGTCCTTCTCCTCTTCCAAGCTGCTCCAGGTGAGATTGAAAACTGTGAAGAGAGGCTTTTCTAATGAGTTTTAACGCCAGCTCTTCCACTGCCACGCTACATGGGGTGGGTTCTCGGACATGTCTTTTACACTGTTTATGCTCAGTTCCCTATGTGCAATGGGGAAATAATATCACCTAGCCCACGCACGCTTTGTGAGGGTTAATTAGCTACTATCTGTCCAGTTCTGTGAAAATGCAAAGGGCTCTAGACTTCAGTCCTATTGAATTACGCTAGAACAGAAAACACATTGCCTAAAACTAGGCATGTCACCAGGTGCCTGGCTATACTAAATCTCTATTTGGGTATATGAGCTGCTCCCCGGTGTGGGGGCTCAGTTAGTTATCCACAGTGGAAAAGTAAATGCAAGTGCAGTGCATGCCCGGGTAGATACACAGCACACAATCCTCTTCTCACTTACATTATATTTTGTAGTATTGGTCAATATTTATACAGCTGTAGCACTCTGAGAGCCCGATCAGGCTGAGGGCCCCATTGGACAAACAGAAAGTAAGATGAAAATAACTCCTGCCCTGAGGAGCTGATAACCTAAGAAATAAATTGGGGTAACTCCTTTAAAATCAATGGAGCCACACTGCTGTAAAACTGGTTTAAGTGAGGAGAGAATCTGCACCACACATTAGATTCATGCATGTAACTCAACCTTATCTTTGGGGAAAATGAGCTTGGTAAGTTTACGGAGGAGATGGTAGGATGAGGTTGTATACAGTGGCATACAGCCCATCCGTGACTGCTATCTCCAATGGTCTGAGATGGGACACTAGATAGGGAGGGTTCTGAGTTACTACAGAGAATTCATTTCCAGGTGTCTGGCTGCCGGGTCTTGCCAACGTGCTCAGTTTTTAACTGATCGCCATATTAGCAGTTGAGAAGGAATTTTCCCCCTGTCAGATCGGCAGAGACCCTGAGGGTTTTTCACCTTTCTCTGCAGCATGGGGCATGGGTCTCTTGAATGTTTAAACTGGAGTAAATGGTGGATTCTCTGTAACTTGAAGACTTTACATCAAGATTTGAGGACTTCAGTAACTCAGCCAAAGGGTTAGGGGTCTATTACAGGAGTGGGTGGGCGAGGTTCTGTGGCCTGCAATGTGCAGGAGGTCAGACTAGATGATCATGATGGTCCCTCCTGGCCTGAGACTTTATGTTTAATACCTATTTAATTACCTCCACCTGTTCTCTTCTTGGGGACTGCTTCTGAGTGCAACTGTAACTGCAATCCTTCCTGCGATACCAAAATGCTGTCGAATAAATAGACAGTGGACAACGTGCATTCACTGAGAGATGATGGCGCTGATGGGTCAAGCTGAGCATGCCCGTGTTCATCTTTCAGGAAATGGGGAGTGGTTGTCACGCCTTGTGATCTAAAATCACAGCTCATATTTGACTGGAGTGTATAGATCCGAACAAACAACTTTATGCTCTTTTTTCTTTGTGCAGGGTCCGGTAAAGGGGCAAGGATCCCTTCCTGTAGGTCCTTGGGAGGTTACTGCATAAGGCCTAGGCAGCACTGTCCCTCAGGACAGTTTCTGAATGGATCATGTGGTCCGAGAGAGAGATGCTGCAAAAGATAGAGACCATGCTGAGCTGCACATGGGGGGCCTCGGATCGTCCAAAAAGATGTTTGCTCCCCTCTTTTCAATAAAGACAAGCTGTTAAATCATAGCTGCTTGAGGACATGACTCTTCCTTGGGAGTGGGGGGTAGGGAGAATGGGGGTGTGAGGGAGAGGGAAAGGGAAAGGACAGACGTGGGTATCATCCGTTTCTATAGAGACTTCTTTCTAACACTACAGGCTTGAATGTTAGCACATGTGGTGCTAATCACTGCTTCTTGGTGTCCCCAGTTACTCATAATAGGATCTTACACCTAAAGTTGGATTCTAAATTCCCTCACTGACCATAAAGTGTGGAAAAAATACTGTTATTTCTGTCCTGAAAAAGCACATTCCCTCAACCCCAATCATGCCAAAACAAACATAAAGATATACACATCTGAGCTGGGGGGGAGGGGCAGGATTCAGCTATGTGTTCTCCACAATTCACACAAATGCGGTGGTGTAAATCTCTGTTGCAGTGCCATGTTAGAAGCTGACAAGCAGCCTGCAGCCAGCACTAACTCCTTTCCTGGCCTTCCCAAAATATCCTGCCCCTCAGAGTTTCATCTCAGCGCCAGTGGCTGCAGTTTGCAAACTGGGGCGCAGCTCTCAACTCTGAGGAACGAGCTCTCCTCATGTGGAATAAATGGTGAAAAAATGGTGGGTCCTGCCTCATTCCCAGCCGCAGTTACCCAGATCACAAAGGCATATGTGCATATGGGGCCTCGTTACACAACACGCTTTCCCTAGAATTCACACAGGTGTCTTTGTACTCCTGGTGGCATGTGGGACTGGAGGCCTACGAGTGACCTGCAGCTGGAAGTATCAGAGGGGTAGCCGTGTTAGTCTGAATCTGTAAAAAGCAACGGAGGGTCCTGTGGCACCTTTAAGACTAACAGAAG